GGATGCGAGCCCCGAGCCCTGTCAGGGATCAGCGCTCTGCGGGGATGGGGCAGGGGCCGCCTGCAGCGCATCCCCCGCTGCTCCAGCAAGGGGCTCTTCCCTCCCCCGGTGCCTGTCAGATCTGAGGGCATCTCAGGAGCCTTCCCGTTTGGCTGGACAAGCTGTGGCTGGGACGGGTGACAGCGGCCGTGGAAGAGCGCCAGAGTGGTTCAAGCTTGGCCCAGTCTCACAAAGCCCTGGCTCTCTGTGCTTGGAGTAAATTGCGTTTTCTCTGCATTTCTCCTGCTCTCTGCTCATTCATCGATTACTCAGCTGCTAATTAAGCGAGGATAATGCCCCCAGCAGATGCACAGCGAGCTGACAGCACGGGTCAGGCAGGAGAGGGTTTAGGTGGGATGCCAGAGCTGTTGCCATTAGATCAGCCTGCTCTGCCCTGGCTCACAGCAGCCACTGGCAACTGCAGGAGGATGTGAAGGGAGGGTTAATTAGGTCAGCTCTTGTTTCACTCACGAATTTGCCTCTGTGAAGCAGTAAGCTCAGGCACAATGCCATGGGCCAGGCCCTCAGCTGGGACAGAGCACAAGGGGAATGAACAGGAGCAGTGTCCCGCTGTTCAGAGGGGGATCCCTGCCCTCTCACACCTTCCCCATCCCACAGAGCCCAGCCTCTCCCGTGGCACAGGGGCTTGGGCAGGGCTGCACAGCGAGCTGGGATCCCCCGGGATCCCTGTGGGACCCTCAGCTTGACACCTGGAGCAGGCTCCCAAACCTGCTCTGAACATCCCACCAAACCCGCTCTTCCACAGGGCCCCAAACCACCGGGGAAGGTGGGGTTACCTCCTGTTTCTTTGTCCCTCATCTTGCCAGATGGGAAAGAGCTTAGTGACATGGAGGGGCACACGGTCCCTCCCGCAGAGCTCCGTGGTGAACCTGAGGACAAGGGACACACACACACCCCAGTGCTGGGGAGCACCTCGGGCTTCCACACACCCCCAGCCGCTGGGCAAGCAGCAAATGCCCCATAAGCCAGGCCTGGCAGAGCATTACTGACAGACAGGCGGGGAGAGCTGCACAGGAGCAGCGGGGCAGGAGCAGCAGGGATCACCCCGAGGTGCCCGCTGGCAGGAGCGGAGGCTGGAGGGGGCTCCAGCATGGGTGGCCACAGGCACAGCAGTGATTTACAGACTCACGGGAAGGGGAAGGCCCTGGCCGGGCTCCTCAGGGA